GGTGCCGCCGCCAGGCCGTGGCCCAGCCGCGGCCGCCCGAGAGGCCGATGCTGCCGGCGCTTCCCTGCCCGCCCCCGCCCGGCGCTCCCTCCCTCCCTTACTCTCTTAGTCCGTCCCTCCCTCCTCGGCCGAGGCAGCAGGAAGCGGCTCTGATGTCAGCGGCGGCGGCCGCGGCGCGGCTCTGAGCGGCTCCCCCACCCCCGCCGCGGCCCCCTCTCCCGCTGCCGCCGCTGGGGCTGGCGGAGGTGCCCGGCTGCGGCCCCGGGGGCGCCGCTTTCTCTCGCCCGGGGACGCGCGGCCGAGGCGGTCCCGAGCTGCGCAGAGGCCGCGGCCTAGGGCAGTCGGCGCGGCGCCCCGGGGGGGTGCGGGAGGGCGCGGGATGCGCAGCGGCGGCGCCGGGGCCTGCGCCCGCCGCCAGTGAGGCCCAAGGCCGCCGCGGATGCGGCCCCGGCGGCGCCTCGGACAGGCCCGCCCCGACCTGCGCCAGGAACCGCCGCCGAACCCCGCGTAGCCCCGGCCCTCGGCTGCCTGGTGCCGGACCCTCGCGTAGCCCCGGCTCCCTCTCCTCCCCGCGGTGAAAGAGGAGGCATGTCCGCTGCCGCCTCCGCTGACATGATTGAAACCCCCCCGGTCCTCAACTTCGAAGAAATCGACTACAAAGAGATCGAGGTGGAAGAGGTGAGTGAGGGTCCCGCCGTCCCCCTCGCTCCCCGGGCGCGGCCAGCCTGGTCCCGGCTGCGCAGACCCCGAGCGCCCCCGGCGTTCTCCTCGCCGGCGCCGTCCCTCCGCTGCGGAAGGGGCTGCGGAGAATTCCCGGGTGCGCCGGGATGCCGGGACCCCCCCAGGGTACCTGACCGGGGGTCTGTGCTCCCGTGGATGCTGCAGCGACTGGCACCAGCGAACAAAGGCGGTCTAGCTAGGAGTGGAGGTGCCAGCTTACTTCTGCCGGCCCTGCTGCTGAATGCCTTACTGTGGAGTTTTATTTAAACGGGATAGATTTATTAAGGACTTTTAAAGTTTCGCCACCCACTTTAGTATGGGTGGCAAACACAGTTGTCAAGAGAGAGCTGTTAATTCTAGTGTTTCTTTCAGATCTCTTTTTCTCTATGCCCCTGTTTTCACCTTCTGCCACCAAACTGAGCCATTGTATATGTAATGATCATACCACTCTTAATGATTTGCTAAATTTACAGCTCCGTGAGTTGTAAGGGTAAACAGATTTTTTTTTTTCTTAACATAGGCTAGTGATGTTGCACCCATGGATATGTAACATTTCATTTGTGACCTGTGCGTGTTACCCAGGAAGTGGCATTCAGTTATTAAATAACAAAGTTGGAAGGAAGTTTTTTTTCCTGTGAAAATCGTATAGTAAAATTATTTCAGGTGTCCCTTTCATCTGTCTGGAGTTCCTGTGAAAGTAGCGTGGGTGTGATCTAGGGTGGCTTGCGTGCTTTAATAACAGGCTCAGTAGTCTCTATATACTACAGTGTTGTTTGACTCTCAGAGTTACACAAAAATATTGCTGCTGTTTTTTTCCTTTGTCCCCTGCTAAATTCTCTACATGAGTGAAGTTGCTTCGTGTTGACCCATAACAAGTTTGATGAGACCCACTTGTAGAGTCTGGACCTAACAGGCATCCAAGACTGCTAAAACAGTCTCTGTGCTTTTATTTGTAGGTTACCATCTTTCTCTTTCAGTAATAGTTACCCTCTTTTCCTTAAAAAGTTTGTGTGGAAGTGGAGTTCTGTGTAGTAGCTTTGATAGCTTTTAGATGACAACCTTCATCTCAGGTTTTTATAGCAGTTTGCTAGATACTGGTTTGTTTATGATCATCCCACTGGGCTTGGGTCTTCTGGGGATAGTTCAGGGACCTTAAAATCTACAACGTTTCCATGGAACACCAGGGCACTTTCTGCTGTATTCAGGTAGTGTTGTGGTAACTTTGGCTTTCACCATAGCAGGCACTGGGAATTTTCAGGAGACAGTAGCTTTCAAAAGATTGCCTTTATCTCTTTCTATGAATTTGGCAATCACAGAGATTTTTGTTTCTGTAAGTCTAGTTGTTCCACCTCCCTTTGTGCAATTAACTATTCTGAAGTGAAGGTATTTTTGATGTTTTTGCAACACTTACTAATAGCCAGGGATCAAATCACATGTTTTGGGCGAAACAGCCTTTCTCACCCAGAGGAGAAAGTTTAAGTGGGTTATCCATCAGAAAAAGGTGCCCAGTGATGGCTCATATAAGTGAGTACCACGTCTGCTGTGTTAGACATAGCCCTTTGAATGAATAAAGTGCTATACAAATCTTTAATCCTCACAACACCCCTGGGGAGGTTGTTAGCAAGGATTGTATTGCTGTTTTACATATAAGAAATGTGGAGCTGCATAGTGTGTAATTGGTGTAACTAGAGTTTAGCATTCTAAGGTTCAGTGCTCAGAGCTTGACTGTGTCCCACACATGTGCCTGGCACTCACAGAAACAGGACTGTCAGCACAAAAATGTATCTAGAGACAATGCCTAAGTAGAAATTTGTTTAATGCAGTTGTTGCATTATTCTCAACACAGTATCTTTGTAGAGATAACAAAACTCATGTGATATAAGCAAGAGAGCTCTGATGAAGTGTTCCATGTTGTCTCCATAAAAAAATCTCACAGCTGGCATAGCATATTGAGTGTACCCGTCCTCCCAGAATTCTTATAGGCAATAGGGATACCCTAGTGCTGAACAGAGTCTAAATGTCATTGCACAGAGGAAGAAATAAGGCCTACTTTACAAGAAAACAGATGGATTTGGGATCATACTTAGACCTTGCTTTTCTGAGCTGTGGGTGTTGACCTCTTACTCATGATGCAATTTCAGCACGAATAGTCAACTTCGTAGTCATAATAAAACGCACATCCTTACTGAGGATTTTCTGTGCTCTCACTTTAGAAGAAACTTCAGAAGTTTTCGAGGATTGTAAGTGACTGTAATGTCTCAAAATGGTCATATTTATGCTTGGCAAACTTCAAGTGTTTCAAAACGGAGTGTTAAGAGATCTACACTGGAAACTCAAATGCTTTTATAATCATAGCTTTGCTGTTGTATTATCAAGGCTGTCTTGTCAGCTGATAGCAGTCCCACTCTGCCACTGGTTTATTAATAGATATTGAAGTTCTGGAATACTTGCAGGCCCAGAGACCTTGTTAATAAATGTGAGATCTATAAGTACACTTTCATTTGGGTTTGTCTGAACTCTACTAAGATAAGAACAAGAATATACCAAATTTCACTTCAGCTACCATGCATATGACTAACTGTGGTGTTACTTCCCACCAGTCAAACACGTCTCCAGCTTCAGTCTGCCTTTTTGTCATTTCAGGTGCTTAAAATGAAATAAAACATAGAGACAATTATTATTAAAGAGTTGGAGTTAGATCAAAATTGATGTGACACAGCAGGAGCATCTTCAAAACTAGAAGGGGAAAAACAACGTAAAACTTGTGTTCAAAAGAAGTGGTCTCTATTTTGCTATGCAAGTTTTCGATTGTGAAAATGGCCATTTTAAGTTTTTAATATTAGATGGACAAATCATTAGAAACTGAAAAAATATTACCTAATATAACTGAAAAATCAAGTCAGCAATAAAAAGCCCAAGAGTCTTGTTTTAAAGTCTCATATTTAAATCTAGAACAACACTCCTGTTGTTTCTTCCCAGAGGAGTTTCCACATCTAAGCAACAAACACACTTTGGTTTTTAATTGTTCTGGCAGCCTACTCCCTGCCACTCTTTCCTGAGAATTCCACAGGCTTTCCTTCACCAGGTAACTGGGTAACAGTCCCATAGATGACCAAAATGTAGACCTCTTCATCACATGATGTGTGTATCCTTGGCACAGCCAAAGGTACATGTCTGGTCATGTGTACTGTGACCCTGCCCAGTCACTGCCTGATGCAGACAAGTTAGAAAAACTAATGCCATATTTGCATAGTTGTAAGTTACTTTTGGATGGTCTGAAAGTGTAAATTACTTGAAAACTGTTGTTTAATTCTCTACTGGTAGAGTATATACAGTAAACTGTATGTATACATTTTACAGTGAAGTTTATTTTCAACAATCTATTTGGGCAGTAGTTAATTCTAAGAGAATTAGGGTAATGTTTTCTTTGAGATGAAGAGGTAGGCTTCATATATATTTCTTATAGAAAGTTTACTTAAGATCCCAGCAACCAAGGAGATGCAATTTATAGTATGTCCACCTATGTCAGATATTTTTGAAATAGTTGATTAATTTCATTAACTTGAGTAGTGTGCTGAGATCTATGTCTGTTCCTTCCAATTCTGGAGCAGAGCAGTTCAGAGGCAAGAAAATGAGCAATACAGCAGAGCAACTGGGTTTTGCTCCCCTTTGTATAGTTAACTTTAAAATGTTAGTGAGATGCAATGACTGATTATGTCCATTACAAAGTAAAGCAGATTTGTCTAAGTTGCTGTTGAACATGAAGCTATTACTACCTCCACTGTTTCTGTGTTCTGGGGGGTCACCCCCAGTTGTAGAATACCAATCTGAAATGTTGGAAGGAATTTAGAGAAGAACTGGATGTGATTTGAGATCTGAACAGCATTTTTTGGGTATCTGACTTGAGTGCAGAAGGACTGGTTCTCAAGAACCAAGGGTGGTGGTTAGAAATCCATTTGAAGTCAGTTGAATTTCTCAGCCTTTTTCAGTAAGACTTCAAGCTGCAAAGCTGGGTATTCAAAAACAAAGGCAAAAAATAAGTACATGGTGAAAACATATGCCAGTATTTTCCCTGATTTTACTCTAAATACATTTCTGAATTAATGCAAATAACAACTTAAATGTGGTTTAATTACACCAATGGAAGATTCTCTTTATTCATTTACATAACAAAATAGCTGAAGTGTTAGCTGGGGTGTAAATTTATAGCAGAAGTTGTTCAACACCAATTCTATGTGGATGAAATTTACTGTGCAGTGAGTTAGAAGATGGCTAATAAGCTAGTTAAACATTTAATGTGACACTTTACACTCATTTCTGCACATGCAGACATATTCAGTGAATCAGTTTGTGTCCTGTAAAAGAGACTCATACTTCACTCTCATGAAGAACACATGGGAAAGAAACCTCACAGATCTTCCTGTTCCAGTGATGAAAGCAAGATCCATATTTCTGAGATAATTGAGTTCTATGTCTAATACCTTTCTTTCCCTAAGAAAAAAACTAAAACAACAGAGCAAGTTTCACATGTCCCTTATTTGTTCCACCCATTGGAACAGTATTTACAGTAAATTACCAGTAATTTTAGACAGTGCCAGCCCAGAAAGCTCATGTTAGAATCCTGCATCCTGACTGCCTCATTATCCAATATCTTGTTTCTAAAATAATAATCCAATCTCTGGGCTGCTCTTGACAGAAGAAATTGATTCATACTAGAGCATCAGAGAGTTGTTTCATTAATGTTTATAAATTGCTGGTAATTAAAATTAGTTCATTTCTTGATACAGATGTATAAAACCCTATCAGTAGGGTAAAAGCTTTTCAGTATGTGATAAGCCAGAATGAAAGTATAACTTGATAAACTGTTATCTTTGAGATGCATGCATTTCTTGGAATGACTTGAGCTACCAAAATGCAGGGAGGGTTGGTTGCATGTTCAGAGCAAAGGAAGAATTTCT